CCTAAACCCTAAACCACGAACCCGAAGTCCTAGAGTCTGGACCTGAAGACTCCTTCCGAAGCTCAAGGCTTCTTGACTTTAGGGCCACTTTTTACTTTCGGACTTCAGCGTACCTGCAGAACATCTGCTTAGGGTTTTAGGGTTTAGGGCTTTAGGGTTTTAGGGTTTAGGGCTTTAGGGTTTTAGGGTTTAGGGCTTTAGGGTTTTAGGGTTTGCAAGGACCTAAACAACTTTGTGGGGGCATAACTATTTGCGGTCGGGAACCCTGAGAGGCAATGACCCTCAACACCTAAAACCCTCAACACCTTCAGAGCGACGAAAGGTTTAGGGTTGAGGGTTTAGGGTTTAGGGCTTTAGAGCTCTGAACCTCGAACCCCGCAAGCCCTGAAACCTGAACCCCTACGCCCACAGCCCTAGCAGCAGGGACCTGACCGCGAGCCTTGAGTTTATTTTTTCGCACCTTACTCCCCGCTACCTTCTGTGCTCCCATACCTTCCAAGCCAAACTCCTTTCGGATTGTTCGAGGTCTTTCTTTGGGAATGAAAGAAACCCCTGAACCCTAAACCCTGAAGTTTGAAGCCTAAACCCTTGACGTCAAGTCTTCAGCACAGAAGTGGCGCAACCCGCAGCATAGACTTCAGAAGGTCTGGATTTAGGGCCCAGCGGTTTAGGGGTTGAGGGTTTAGGTTTTTAAACTTAAGGGGCTTTGGTGCAGCTTGCTTTTGAGGCGGAGACGTTGGAGCTGTAAATCTTCTACCTGCCCCTTCTGAGGCTCCTCAAACCACTCCATTACGGCAGACTGTGAGATCCCAAATACTCCAGAAGGGCATCGGGGTGTAGGGTCTAAGGCAGCCCACCTGCCGTCCATCTCATGCCACTGAGCCTGAAGCGGAACTTCGCGTTTTCGGAACCCTAAACCCTAAACCCCAAACCGTGTGATGACTATTCCGTCTGTGGGTCCGCTTGAGAAGTTTCCCATCTTTGGGAATTAAAGAACCCAGGGCGCTCCAGAGGTTCTAAGGTTTAGGGCTTCGGGGCGAATTGGCTCCAGCAGGGCTAGGCTTAGGGCGTTTAGGGCTTTAGGGGTTCAGGTGTTCAGGGCTTAGGGCTCAGGGCTAGGACTTTGAGGTGTTAGGGTACTAAGTGAAGTGGAGGGATGCCCGAAACTTCACTCTTTTGGGAGGTGCAAGCACAGCATCCCAGGTTTTCCCTGTGGTGTAGGGTTGGGCTTTTGGCTTTGTGGGATGACTGTTAAGAACTCAGGGAAGGAAAACTTTGATGTACTGGGATTTTACCAGAAAACAGGATACTTTGTTCGAGACCATCTGGGGTTGAGCTTGCACGAAGTTCTTCTGCACACCTCCGCGATGATCTTCTGAAGCAGCTTGATCGAACCCAAGCTTACCCAAATTTACTTGGTATGAACTTTATAGCCCAACATCAAAGGGGACCCAAGTTGCATCTCTACAAGCCCTGTAAAAGCGCTTCGCAAGGTCTGCACCGATTTCCGAATTCAAAAGCCTGGATGTGCTAAGCCAAACCCCTCAACCGAATATCCTAATCTCACCTGAAAGCAATCGGGTCTGCCCCCTCAATCCTGAACCCTCACCCCTAAGCGCCAAGACCGGACACCGTTCTTTCAAGAAGCCTCGAAACCCCCGGCCTGAGAAAAGCGACAGAGGGGCGGGTAGACATCTGGCCTCGACTACTCAGAAGTGTGGGGCCCCCCGCCTCCCGGCTGAGGGTTTAGGGCTCAGGGTTTAGGGTTTAGGGTTTAGGGTTTAGGGTTTAGGGTTCAGGGTTTAGGGCTCAGGGTTGAGGGCTTAGGGGGCTCAGACACTGAATCGCAAACCTCGGCTTCAGACTCAGAACAACCCGGAACCCAAACCCCTAAACCCCAAGCCCTTTCAAAGAACCCTAAATCCCAAAGCCTCGCACACCACAGACCCCAACCTCCAAGGTCCAGAACTTCGAAAGTTTAAGGACTGAGTTCAAGGTTTAGGGGGAAGCTAAAAAATGTGACAAGGAAGATTGACATCGCACACATCACAGCCGAAGCTACCTAACATCCCTAAACCCCAAAACCTAATTCCCTAAACCCTGAATCCTAAACCCTGAGGTGCCTAAAGCCTTAACCTGAAGCTCCGACCCGGATCCCGGTCCAATGCTTCACGCCATAACCTGAAACTCTTTCTTAGGGTTTAGGGTTTAGGGTTTAGGGTCTCACCCCACCCCGGATTCTGATTCTTAAGACCAAATCCCCAAACATGAAGAAAACAAGACCACAATCCCATGACCTCATGACCTCGAGCCTCAAAACTCTACGCCAAATCCCCAAACCGATGATACAAGATACCAAGCAAGCTGCAATTACTATGAATATTAAACCCTATACCCTAGACCGTAAATCCCAAACCCTAAATCCTAATCCGCAGACCCTATGGCTACCTTAAAGGGGACCCAATTATAGAACCCTATACTACCCTTTAAAGGAACCCCTTTTTAGAGCCTTATGCTACCCCTGAAACAGCCCTATACTACCCCCAAAAAAGCAACCCTATTGTAGAGCCCTTTTGCTACTCCTTATGGGTACCGGCGTCAGCTGGCCTGGGTTTGGCATCCACCGGCAGGTCACACTCAGCTCGGCTGCTAATGCCGTGGTGCAGCCGCTCCTGTTCCATAGTAGCCATACCGGGTTTGGGGCTTAGGGTTTAGAGTCTAGAAAGACTTTAAGGTTAGAGTTTAGGGTCTGGGGCCCGGGGTTTCGGGTTCAGAGTTTAGGGAGTAGGCTTTAGGGTTTAGGGTATAACAATACGAGTAGCGGTAATCATCATCATTACCATCCTCATGGTCATCATCATCGTCATAATAATCTTAAAGACTGCAATGATACGCGTAACTGGGTAGCAGTCACAAACAGAGTAGCAACAAAAACAAGAACAACACTAGTAACAAAGACGAATAACAATAGTAATAACAAGAATGACAAAAACAGTAGTAACGATAAAAACCATAGTAGCAATAATAATCATCATCATAGAAATAACAATAATGGCGTTAATAGTAAGAAGAATAACAATAATAGCAATAGTCATAACACTAGTAATGACTATAGCAGTGGCAACAAAAAGACAATAACAGTACTAACAAAGAAACAGAGGAACAACAGCAAAAATACCAAAGATAATGACGACGATATCAGAAGCATGCTAATAATCTTCTTCTTCATCATAACAACGTTTCGGACTGAATAACAATTACTATGACGAAACAATCGACATGATAATAATAGGAAGAAGAATACTACACTGAGACCATATGGTCAAATAACAACAATAGTAATGGCAATCATCATCGAGATTGAGGCGCTTCGATTTCTGGAGCTGTTGAAAGAGAATTTGGAGTTCGGCAGTGGCGATTTGGGGCTTAGATTTTGGGTTTAGGACTCTTTGGGGTTTAGGAGTGTCTGGAGTTTTGGGGTCAAAAGTTTAGGGGTTTAGGGTTTAGGGTTTAGGGTTTAGGGTTTAGGGTTTAGGGTTTAGGGTTTAGGGGTTTAGGGTTTAGGGTTTAGGGTTTAGGGAACTGGGAGGTCGGCAGGTGGCGAGATGTGGGCCTTGCGCTTGCAGCCCGGGAGGGAGAGTTCAAAGCCGGGGCTAGCTTACGAGTGAGGCAGGGAAGGTGGTTTAGGGTTTAGGGTTTAGGGTTTAGGGGCCGGGGCTAGCTTACGAGTGAGGCAGGGAAGGTGGTTGAGAGCTTGCAGACTTATACCTTCGGATACAATCTCAGAGACGTTGCTTTAATCATAATTACACCGAGGCCCTTGACGGCAAAGGCCTATTTGCGTCCTTATCATATTCGACACTCACAAACTGCCGTCCTGCTCCAAGTACAGCTCCCGCAAAAAGGAGCTGCCGTACCAAACCGTGGGTGGCATTCCACTCCCACTTTCCCAGCGCAGACGCTTGCGAGAGCTGTTCCACTTCCTGGGCTAGTGTTACCGATTTTGGTTTATGCTGCGAGAATAAGGGGACCCTGTCATTTACCATAGATCCCTATTCTGCTACTTAAACCCTAACCAGAACCCAGCTTCCTCAATGTCGAATCCTGCCAGATCCAGTGGCCACGAAGCTCCAGCCAACGGCCCCTCTCTGGGTTCAAGATGGGCGCCAAGAAGCTCTGGAGCTTGGAAGACAGATTCTTGAGACGGGATATGCTCTCGTTCTCTCCAGCAAAAAGAGCCTCCGTCATGTTGCGGCTTTCGTTGCCTTTCCGCGGCAAGAAGTTCCTTGCTTGCTCCTGCTTTGACTGCGACGCCACCGTTCCGTTCCAAACAGCGGCGGCTTCGTCGTGGCTTGAGGCCGCTGGCCTCTCAGCTCTTGGGACGCTCTTTGGTCCGAATTCCAGCGTCCCATTGCCTGATGGGCTTAACTTTAAGGTTTAGGGGGTTAGGTGCTTTCGGGCTTAGGCGAGCTTAGGGGTTTAGGGGTTCAGCTTCAGCCCAACCTCGTTGGTCCAAGGCCCTGTTCCGACCCAGAAGGATCCCAAGAGAGGGGCGCAAGCCTCCATGGAAGCTCAAGGCAACCAAAAGCCCTGCACAGACCAAGACTACCTCGCCAAAGCGACGGTAGCGGGTCAGCTCCATCAAGAGTGGGGTGGAGGGTGTTGGGCTCCGAGTTCAGGGTTTCGTGCTTAGGTTCCTGTTCTCAGGGTAGTGCTTACGGTTTAGGGGTTGGGGTGGAAGTGTGGTGGAAGGGTTGAAAGTCGTGGTTGCAGCCTTCGAAGTGTGCGAATTTGGTGATTTTCGGGGTTCAGGGCTTACGGTCTTGAGCCTGATGTTCAAAATCGGCGATGCGTGTACAGGTTCTCAGATCACCAAATCACAACAGACGCTGTCCCACCCCAAACCCTAACCCGTAACCTGGAACAGAAACCCAAAACAACAAACTCATAGTTAAACCTAAACCCTAAGCCCGAAACCTGAAACCCTGAAGCCCTAAACCCCAAGCCTAAAACCCCAAGAGCCGGCCGGCGAAAAGCGTCCCTTCTTCTTCATCACCGGCACATGTAGATTATTTTTAGGGCTTGGGGTTAGAAGTTGCGCAATGTGGGGGTTTAGGGTTGAGGACGTTGGTTACAGAAATCCGTTCGGTTCATGGTTTCGGGCCGTTACAGCCGGAACATGTGCAGAGACCACCAGCGATTGATCCCTAGAAGTATTCCTAGAAGGGTCGAAAAAGTTTCCTATAAGGAAAGCGAAACTCCACACCTTCTGAGGGCCTCAGTGATGAGAACAGGGTTTCGGGGCATAATAAATTGCAATTATACTTGGGACCTTAAGGGAATGTTATGACTCACTGGGCGTAGCAGATAGATCCATTTCAAACACAATCAAAAGACAAGAAGCGTGCATCCACAGCCTGTCCTAACGAACTCACGTCAAAATGCAGACCTGCAGGAGAGGAGCCCGTCGGTCGAGCATCTGAGTGTACAGACCCAGAGCTCCTTTAGGGTTTAGGATTTAGGGGTTTCTCAAAACGGTAGCTGGTAGCTGCTCTGCAGTGGGACTCAGTGACCGTTCTTTGCACATGACTTGAGCCATGTTCACAGAAGTAGCTAGCTGACTGGCTAATGCAGATGTGTGACAGGTCTGAGCCACTTCTTGCTACGGCTACACGAAGGCTACCATCACCGTGAAAGAAGGCCACAGTGTCACAGGTGCAGCTTAAGCTTGGTCTGACTGAGCACCATTTGCTTCGGACGCGCACTCAACCTCCGGGTTATTGCTAAGCCCCATGAAAATATGAAAATTCTCTGCTTAGCGGAAAATGGAGCCGATCGCCCCGCCGATAGCGCCGCCCACGTCTTCCAAGTGACCACCTACCTTGTTCACGGCGTCTTTCGCTTCTCCTGTAATCTTCATGGTGTGTGCTCCACCCGCCTTGAAGAAATCAGCTGCCGCTTCAGCTCCTTTTTCGAAGCCGTGGCCGATCTTTTCGACCACCACTTCCCCGTGCTGGAGAGACGCTTCCGAGAGCTCTGCCAACTCCTTCGTCGCAGCGTTGAAAGTCTGGTCGGCGGCATCTGCGATCTCCTTGCCCACCTTTACAACCATTCGAGCGCCTGCCTGTAGGAGTAGGAGGAGGTTCTCGAAGCCATTTCCACAGCTGTCATAGATGCCCTTAATGGCAAAGCAGAAGGCCATCTTGTCGCCCTTCTGCTGGATGAAAGCCTCGAAAACTGTTGCCTCGAACTTGAGTCCGAAGCTGTTCTCACAGAATCTGTGGTTTGACCCTAAAAACCTAAGTGTCTTGCATTGTCTTTTGATGTAAAGCTTGAATGACATCCCGACGCTCGTCAGGACGTCCACGACAGCACCAATGCCCTTGCCAAGGAGGCCGACCACGGCTTGTACTGGAGGGCTCTGAAACTTGTCCAGGATCTTTTGCTGAATGTCCGCCATGATGTTGTCGTTCGCGAGACCACCCGCTGCCACGCTGACATAGAGACCGATTTCGTCCTTGGTCTTCCTGAAGAAACTCGAGGCAGAAGCGACGGTCACGTCCAAGTCCTGGAACATGCCGTGAGACCACTTCTTCAATGGGATGGTGATCCCAAGCTTGCCGTCTACACCCATTGCAACATCGTTCTTCAGGACCTCCCTGAGGAACTGGGTTGCTTCATCAGGAGTGAACAGGTTTAAGAGGCCAGAGGTGCCGTCAATCCCGTTGATGAAGTTGTTCAGCATTGGCACTTTGCTCACCTGGCTCATGAAGCCGTTGCGATCTGGATCAAAGTCTACGAGGCACCTCAATGTAGGAGTTTTGGCTTAAGGCTTGCGGAAAAGGGTTCACCGGGTTCACCCTACTGCTGGATGTGGAGGCGGCTTTATGCGTGGACAGACGGGGATAAGGGATTCTGAAACTCCCTGAAAGTACCCTGAGAGTACCCATCAAAATAACCCTTAAAGTACCCCTGAGACCACTGTACCCCTTATAGTAACCCTGAAAGGATCCCTGAGAGTACCCCATATAGTAACCCTTGTAGTAGCTTTTCTGGCAACCCTTATAGATTCCGACTCCGGGCAGCTTGGAGTCGATGAAGACCGAGAAATCTCCGATGTCCGCCCCTTCTTGCCTCGGTGGTTTGAGCGATGATGTGAGGTATGTTCTAGTACAAGCATAAGTTTGTTCAGGAACCCTACAGACCAGTTTTTCCAGCATCTTCGCATTAAGGAGCCCGAAAGAACCATATTTTTCTCCTACCACTCTATTCAGGAACCCTAAAGAATACTGTTGATAATCTTGTCCAGTTGCTTCAGGAGGTCGGCGAGATCGAGCTTCACCCCAGCATAGATGTTGCCCATCATCGAGTCACACTTGCCTGGGTTCGAGTTTCGGGCCCTCCAGAAGTATTTCTGAAAAGGGTTACCTATGAAGGACCATAAGGGAAACTTATAAAGTTTCCCCTGCCACCTAGTCGCCCTCGCATTCCCAGAACTTGGTGGAAAAAGTCATCTCCATTTTCGGGGCACCAGAGGAGACAAAACTTACACCCACCGCGACCGTGTCGACCAACTTGGACGCGGCTTCGATAGCTTTGCCTGTTCCAGGGACGGGCACATGCAAGTTCTTGACGCCAGGGTTGCCCACAAAGAGCTTCGGCTGGAAGATGAGAAGCCCAGTTCCATGGGCCACACTGCTTCCACTCATGAGCTGAGCAAAGCAAAGGCTGCCACCTTCAAAAATGCTCGGAATTGTTGGCACTTTTATTCCGAACAAGAAATACTTTTCTGTCTTCACGACTGGCAAGTTCCCACATTTGGTGTCGCCCATTTGCGTTGACTTCTTATCTAAGATCTGTGATCCCATGTAGTCCCCAACGACAATCACAGGGATCATGCTGCAGACCGTGTTCTTCTTGGCGGCGATGCCAGAGGCATGGTCGTACTCATCTATCGTGCACATTTCTGCAATCTTCGAGGTGAGGTCGTACAAGACACCCTCCTTCTTGGTGACACTCTCCGTGGGCTTCACCTTCTGGACCTTCTGGTTGGAAGACGTTATGGTGGAAACGACCTGTTGGCTGCCGCATCCGCCCGAATATCCGGGCCAGTCTTTCTGCGCAAAGATCGCTCCAGTGCCCGAGCCGCAGGAACAGCCAGTGGCCGGGGAAGTGCCATGGGAGCCCGGGGGGCAGGGCCTGCACTTCGAATAGTCCGACTGGCCGCGGCAAGGGTCTGCCTGGCAAAGGCAGGTGTTGGGATTGTTCCTGCAGGAACAGGATCCCTTGATGGAGCCCTCGGTGCAAGTTTCCTTGGGAGCCTCAAGGAAAAGATAGGACCCACGCACGGAGCAGCCTGCGACGACATCCGGGAAGCTGGAGCCCCATGCCGCAAAGTTGTGGGTGATGCTGTAGCCAAGTAGGTCAGCGGCTTTTTTGCAGGCGTCCCGATCATAAATGCCTACCATTCCGTGAACCTCACAAGTCCCTGTAGTGATGGCGGCAAAGGGCACCTCGATCTTCTTATAGGATGCCCAGGGGTGGCCTCCGGCCACATCCCACTTGTTCTTGAACCAGACATGCCGCGGAAAGTGGCTGCCACTCATTGTGAAGCCTTTGCATGATCCATTGTCGGCACACCGGTGCTTTGCTCCTTGAAGCGAGCTTATCGAAAAACTCTCCACATCGCCACCTGAATTTATCCATCCTGTGCGTGATTCCCAATCAGCAGTTCTGCGGATGAAGACATTCAATCCCTGATGACGAGCTCCGGGAGCATTAGCGAACGGAATCCAACCCGACGAACAGTCCGGATAGAGGTTGTTCTCCACGTACAGTCCTTTGCAGTGGTCATGGTGTTCATATGTGATCCATGGATCTTCCACGACACCATGCCGCCGGTACATACGGGCTTTGTAGGGAATGTGCGAAATGTGCGACTTCAAGACCTCTCGGTCGTTGTTGGCGTACCAAGCGAGCACTTCGGACTTCTTCATGATCATCCACTTTTGACAGTCCCCGGTGGCAAAGAGGAACTCATTGAACGGTAAGTTGCTGAACTTCACGCTGAAGGCAGGCCCCAAGGGATTGTGATGGGCAGGACCGTGCTCGCTGGTACCAACCAACTGATCCTAAGCGCACCCTTTTTTCGTATTGTTGAGTTTTCACAAGGGAAAACAAAAAGTGCCAGAAAAAAAAGGGATGCTATTGAACCCAGGATCTGTATCTTTAAAAGATACAAAGGTTGTGCGACGCACAAGGTACCAACCTGATCCGACGGCGGTGCTGCATGTTGAGGCATCACCCCTTGTGTTCCGGATGAACACCTTAGTTGCTGGGTTCATAAGCCCAGAAAAGTGTACACTTTCAGTTTTATAGTAGGTAAGATTATCCCAAAAGTGTAAAGTGTATCCACTCAGCTACTGAGACACATTCAAGCCCTGATGCTTTGTGCCGAGATTATTAGACCCGCAGTGGGGAACAAGGTTGTTCTCCACATACAGTCCTTTGCAATGGTCATGGTCCCCGTAAGTGATCCATGGGTCTTCCACGACACCATGCCGCCGGTACATACGGGCTTTGTAGGGAGTGTGCGAAATGTGCGACTTCAAGACCTCTCGGTCGTTGTTGGCGTACCAAGCGAGCACTTCGGACTTCTTCATGATCATCCACTTTTGACAGTCCCCGGTCGCAAAGAGGAACTCATCGAAGTCCACCGTGTCGAACTTTTTGCTGAATGCTGGCCCTCGGGGATTGCTGTGCGCCGTTCCATGCTCGCTGGTACCAGTAAGCTGATCCGTGTCTCGGAAGGAGCTCCCCTCCGTGCGACGCACCAAACCCCAACCATCGCCCACCTCGTAGCCGCACATCGTGGCGTCTCCGCCGCCCAACTCCAGATGCTCGTAAGACCTCGCTGCCGAAGCAAGATCTCCTGTGGCAGTCTCGTCAAGGAGTAAGCCTTGGACACGAGCAGGACGTGCAAGGGGGGGAGGGGAACCCTAAATTCCACATCCTACCATAATCCCTAGACCCTAAATTCTAACCCAAACGGAGGGTCTCGCCTGCAGTATCTTCATGTGGTGCTTCCTCAGCAGAAGCCGCGGGTAGCATCGCAGGTGGCACCGAAGGTGGCTTCCCTTCCCTGAGCGCATTGCTGGTCTGGACGAGCATGTCTTTGAGCAAGAAACAAGATTACGTAATATTATCCGCCGACCCCGCTTTCGGGGCGGCGCCTGTGCTTCCCCGAAGGTTTCCTCCTGGACACCCACTGCTAAGCCCTGCTTACCCGGCCTCAGCTGCCAGTAGAAGTGGCTTGTGGCTTGTTTTCAGTGGTGCCAGCAGTGGTGGCTTCTGGTGCGTGTCCATGTACGATGATTGTGCGTTGGGCCTAAGTTAAGCTATAGATGTTAGTAACCCCCTTATAACCCCCTTA